CCTCCCCCCCCCCAATGGAATTCTCCCTCCAGCAGGATCCTTCCGCTTCCCGTCCCTCTCCTTCCCCTGGTTTGTTTGCTGGATTTTTCTGTCACATTTTTTTTTTTAATTGCTTGTCAGAAGGAAAATGAGGTGGCCCCCAGTCCCCCGTGCCGATGGGACTTTGCCTTACCTAACACTGCTAGACACAACCAACAGGGGGCGCCCTCTCACGCACGAAAGCTGAGGTTCCCCGGGGTGACGGCCGTCGCCGGCTCCAGATGAGCCCGGCCAGCTTGGGGCGGGGAGGGAGACATCGACCTGCTCCTGATTATTTCGTTTAAGTCGGCCCCCTAAATGAAGATGCCTGTCACGCAAGGCGCCCGATTGATTTCCCGTAGCAGAGAGTTATTCGACACAACAGGTTTAAGTGGGCAGGAAGGACAGGGAGAGACGGGAGGTGGATTCGTCACTCCTGCTTGCTCAGCTATGCAAACGAGGGTGAAAACGGAGCGGACGGTCGAGGGGAAGGACGAGGAGAAGCTCCCTGTCACTTGCAGGCTCTCGGCGAGAACTTTTGACTCATCATTTTGGAGCCGAAATGAAGCTTTTCCTAATCTTCCTGTGCCTCTTTCTCCCTCTCCGCGCTCTCCAGGATGGCCAGTCCAGGACGGTGCGGCAGTTCCAGTTCACGGATTGGCCGGAGCAGGGCGTGCCCAAATCCGGGGAGGGCTTCATTGACTTCATTGGCCAGGTGCACAAAACCAAGGAGCAGTTCGGGCAAGATGGCCCCATCAGCGTCCACTGCAGGTGAGGGTCACCGTCTGGGAGGGACACGGGCCACCAGGGGCCAATCACCACGCATCTTCTCACAATGCAATGGCTTCTCGTCTTTCACCAGCCATGATAAACCAAGCCCAGGGTATACATGAGGGCGGGGCCACAAGGGCACTGGCCCCTGCTGAAAGCTGATTGGCCCTCAGAGAGCCCCCTCCCCTGTCATTCATCGATTTAAAGCACATCATTGGCTAATGATAAGGTTGGCCCCTCAGTAGGAATTATGGCTCCGCTGATGGTTCCCTCTTCCTTAGGAACCCAGCCTACAGTCATGTAATTCATATCATAATTGAAATGTGGCTGCTTTTCCAACTGTGAAAGCGTCATATTAAAGCGAAGACACGCTTTCATCTCTCTCATATCTGCTTGCTGATTAGCTTTTGAGTTTGTTTAGGATGGTGTGTAGAGATGATCTTTTATGGGGGGGGCTGACTCCAGACACGCCTGCTCGTTGTATAAAAATCATCGAGTCGCTCGCTTCCTGGAGGTCATGTGACCTGCCTTTAGCCATGCTGTGGTGTCTCCAGGTGCCTGTTTCCCACCTCCCCCCCCGCCCCGCCCCTTGCCTTCTTTTATCACCAGAAAACTAGATAGAAGTACCATGTATTTTTCTGTCTTATTTTTCTCCTGGAATGGATCACTTTTTAAAAAAAAAAAAAAAAACAGAACTTCTCCCCTTAACCTCAGAAAGCTAAAGCGCGGTTGAGGTGATTTCACACTCTGCCAGACGTGATAAATCCCCCCCAGGACCCGTGTCATGCCTCCTATTCCAGACACTGTCTGGGTGCAGAGATTTGCGAGCATGAAATATGCAGCTGTTTCCTCATAGTCCCGAATGTTTACACAGGCAGAACTGTATGCGCGTGTCTGTCTGAGTGTGTGTATGGGGGATGTGTGTTATTTTCTGTGTGGCCGTTTGTCTTCGTATGTGGGCCAGCAGTTTGGTGAGCCGACCTGATCACTGTAATCGCAGTAGAAATCGCCCACTGATACCAAAGCGTGACTTCACTGTATCCGCCCTCCACCTCAAGAGGGCGTGGCCGCTAGTGCAGTTAGGGTGTATACAAAGGCCGGGGACACAGAGGCACTGGTCCCAGCTGAAAGCTGATTGGCTCCAAAGTGTCTCCTCTTCTGCCATTTACCGATACAAAACAAATAATTGGTTAATGACAAGGTTGGCTCTTACGGCCCCTCCGATGCCCCCCATCTTAAAAAACAAAAAAACATCCTAGAATCGGCTAGTGATATCGGGGCTGTGCCAGACACCCGTGTTTGACCCGGAACCTCGTGTTTGACCCGGAACCTCGTGTTTGACCCGGAACCTCGTGTTTTTGCAGCGCGGGCGTTGGCCGGACCGGCGTCTTCATCACGCTCAGCATCGTGCTGGAGAGGATGCGCTACGAAGGTGTGGTGGACATCTTCCAGACGGTGAAGATGCTGCGGACGCAGCGACCAGCTATGGTCCAGACAGAGGTGAGGCACCCAAGGCCCAAATTATGGAAACACCTAGACCAGGGGTCTCCAACTCCGGTCCTGGAGAGCTACTATCCAGTAGGTTTTCTGTCTAGTATACAGGAAACAAAAATTAGCCAGCGTCTGTACACCGGCGAGATTTTGAATAGAAGCGCTTTGGCCTCATTCTTTTAATGAATAGTTCTGCTGTCATTTGCTAAAGAAAGCATGTTAGAGCTGAGTCTTCACTGTGATGATATAGCCTAGTGCTGACACTGTGCATTCTGTGTGTTTCTTAATCTCCTCTAAACAGGATGAATACCAGTTTTGCTACCAGGCCGCTCTGGAGTACCTAGGAAGCTTTGATCACTATGCAACGTAAAAGAAGAAAAAAAAAAAACGAAAAATGTCATCACTAATTCCACCGTCCCCCTCTACAGTCTTCTGAGCCATAGAAACTTGCTTGAAATTTTTGATGACAACAGAAAACAAACCCAAACTTTAACTGTTCTAATTAAAAACGAAACAACAAAAAAGCAGACAAGAACGTGTACTATTTGGAGTTGACCGGGAGCAATGGCAGGCAGGGAGGCAGGCTTTTTGAAAGGAAGTACAAACCTTTTCACCTTCTCAGGAACGTACCTGAAAGAAGAACCCGGCTGAGGCTCAATGGGGGAGGGGGGAGCGATTTAAGCGTCCGACTCCCAACTTTACCTCAAGTGATCCCATCTGAACCACTTGAAATGTCTTGTGGACGCTGCAAAATGATTCAGTATAAAAGCCGGCTACAAACCAACAGTAAAAAGAAAGACATCAATGCTTTCTTAAAAGGTGACTGAAATCACTTGTAATTCATCCTAAATCAGAGTCGAGATTTGTAGAGGAACTAAAATCTATCGGGATTTCAATTAGTCAATATGAAGAATTTTCAGATTTTTATACGTATACATTTAAGATAAGGGATTACAAGTTATAATCCACATTTGCTCAAGATTCTGGCCTCGAAGGTAACAGCTGTGTCCCAAAGGTCATGGAGAAGGTGGATCTAGTTGAGTAAGTTCCGGAGGAAGATATGATTGTGGTCTAAAGTTCTGCCTAGCAAATCTAAGACGCTCATCAAGTAATTACCAAGGACCTTCCGACTTCTGAATCAGCGGGCCTATCTTCAGCGGGCCTATCTTCAGTGCCAAGATCAGCGACTGTACCGTAGGTCAGGCTCGGCAGGGGAAATTGTCTCCTGTCTGAGAGAAGGACTGAAGTATGAAATCCGAATTATTTTTATTAGATATTCCATGCCAATCGAACCAGTTCGGTGTCCGTTTCAAGGGCACGGATGGAGCTGAGACATTTCGGGGCTGTCAACAAACTCAACTGAGCAGCCAGCACGTCTCATTCCGAGAAGGTACGCCGTACAAGGTCTTTCCGAAAGGGCCGTGACATCATTCCATGGTTGGAGGGAAAAAAGAGAAGGTCTGAGAAATCACAATCATGTTTATTGTTTTTTTTTTTGTTTTTTTTTTTTACGTTTCACGATATTAGTATTTTTTACACGTCGTGCTGCTGGTGTGTTGTGCTGTGTGCAGTGGTGCATAAGAGAGAACTGCTTGTCCCCTAACTGGACAAAAAGCGACAAAGAGAGAAGGACTTGGGACTTTTCCTCCCTCTGGACGGGCGACGGCAGGCCATCTCGAGGATGTCTGCACCCCCGGTGCCCCATACTGTGTTACGGTGGCCAACATTATTTTGCAAAGATGTCATGGTGATATTAGTAGTGGTAGACCTGTATTATTTTGCTAGTTTCCGTCTCAACCAAACATGCTGCTCATATTTTTCTTTATACTGTAGTGGGGCATAGCATTAGCGCCATGTGAAATGTGAAGGCTGGTATCCGGTGGTCCATGCCCCCCCCCCCAAAAAAAAAGTCCTGGGAACCTCCTCTCATACCTTCCATATGAACTGGGAGATCTTCACACCAGGCCTGTGTCAAACTGGGCCACTGCAGTATGAAACCTCGGGGGGCAGGGAGGTATTAGCCAGAAGACCGGCTTTTAGGGTGCTATGGAAGAGGACTTCCTCATGGGGGCGCTGTTGGCCTGCGTCCTCACTGTCCCCGTGGCTGGAAAGTAAATTGCAACCGTCCTCAGATCCTCAGACACTTCTGTCCCAGCAGTGGGACGTTCATGAGATGATGGGGAGAGTAGTGGAGCAGCAGGAGCGAGGAGCGCGCCCCCACCCCGGTCACACAGCCTGTATTCGCTTTCTTCTTTGTTTCTGTGTTTCCAGCTTCGGGCCAGACTGGTCTCTGTGGAGTTCAGGTCTTCTGGGAGACAATGGCGTTTGTGGTCTCGCCAAGACCGCTAATTTATGCACCCCAGAAAAAGACGAGAAAATTGACAAAGAAAAAAAAAAAACCGCTTCTTTACCTGGTGTCAGAAAAGTTACTATCCACTCTGTGATGTATACCAGTATGATAACGTGAACCCCACAGCACCCCCACTGCATACCCACAGACCCCTGACCTCTGACCTTTACCCCCTGACCTTCCCCCCCTCCCCTATTGATAGGTGTACTCAGTAGCAGTCGCGGGGGGAGCCAACAGGAGTCAATTTCTTATTTCCAAAAAAAAAAAAAAAAAGCCTTATTGTTAACATTATGAATCGTTGATTATGTATTATTTTTATTATTGTCGTTTTACCTTGCAAACTTTTATTTTACTTTTTTTCTTAACAGGAATGTTGCATTTTTTTACGTTAGTGGGAAAAATAAATAAATGCTTATTTGATCATATGTTAGAAGGCATTCTATTTTTTCACTTTAGAGATGTGTAATGTACATCTGTGTGCATATATTTCTCTCTGTGTGTATATGATATCTATACACGCAGATATGCATATATACATGCTCCCACATCCATAACATATATAAATAAACGTAGATCATAGATGATGTATATCAACCCGAATGTTACTACACATTTTGCCTTTCCTCTTTCGTTTTTATACTTCTTAGACCGTGAGCGGCTCATGTACAGACGATACAATGGGTTTGTTTTTTTATTTCTTTGTTTTGTTTATTGTTTTCATATCCTTGGGAAATATCGTGTGTTTCCTCGGAAACATTGAAGGGAGGTTGATCTGGCGAGGACCCACCAGTGACACTTCCATATCTGCCGCTGGGTAGAGCTGCGCCGGCTGGAGGTGAAGTTGTAATTATTCATATTCATGGTAGCGGAAGCATTTTTTTTAAAGCGGTAGATGGACTGATCTACTAAACTTTGAATATAAGACACTAGAGTATAACCAGTAAATTCTTGCTGTACTTGACTAATCCTGCTGTACATGATGAATATGTACACCGCAGAGTTTTCTATTTCTCATTCAAGTGGTTTTTATACTGTCTTTATTTCTACTTTTAGTTTTAGCAGAAGTAATGTATCAAGTAGCCAAATAACCGGCCCAGATTCCAACATCTATAAATGAACGATCCACGCCTGCTTTCTGTGTGGTTTTGGCCCTATGTTTTATGAAATGTCAGCGTCTCTGCTCGGTGCCTACCCCCCTCACATCCCCCCCCGCAGGCCACTTAGTCCCCGGCCGCACTTCTGGTGTAATCCGTCCCTGGGTTGTTTGTTTGCGCCACCATAGTTACCGATCGGATGCACCGGCTGTCCTGGCTCGGCCTGGCTGTGTGCCCAAGGAAGCCTCTGGAAGTTCTCTCCGGACCTCCTCTCATTTCTTATCACATCACGGCAACAAAATTGCTGAGATGGTTTCATGACTCATTTTTATATCTTGTACCCAGTCACTCCTCTACAAACCACAGCCCCATGACCAGGCTGCACCCCCAAGCAAGCATCCATTAAGGGCCCAGTCCACTTCAAACTCCAGTTTCAAACTCCCCCTGCACCAGTGCTTCTCAAACCGATCCTTGGGGACTTCCAGCCGGTCCACATTTCTGCTCCCTCCCAGCTCCCTGCCAGACAATCCACGTCCACCGGGAGCTGGGAGGGAGCAAAAATGTGGACCGGCTGGGGGTCCCCATGAACCAGGTTCAGAAACAAGCCCAAACCAGTTCCAGCAACCTCACTCAGTTAACTTTAAAAAATGTGGTCACTTCCAGACTGCTCTTTTATCCAGGCTGGGTTTTGATTGGCTGTTTCCAGGCCTCGAAAGCACAGAGAAGGACCTGGATCCTTCTGCTTCAAATGCACTCTCAACAAATAACACATTTCCCAAGGTAAACACAGCAGATCACCCAGCCTGCAGCTCCCTGCGGCTGAAGAGCTGCTTCTGCGAAGCCCTGTGAGTGACTTTGACCATAAAAAAGGCTCCTCGACAGGTCCTCTGTCTCACAGCCGTGCCCCGCTGTAGCCAACTCTGTTATATGGCATCGATACATAGTCTCAATAAAATACATACATAAAAACACAATTTTGTTTCATTTCTTAAAGGGAACAGATCAATATGAGACGGCGAGTAAAAATGAAAGAAAAACATCATAAAATAAACCCTTTTGAGAAAGAGCGACCCAGAGGGCCAGTGAAAGGCTGTAAATTCTTGCTGCCTTGAAGCTGGGTGCGGTTTGCAGACTCCTGGGTTTGGTATACGAAAGAATCCTGGGAGTTGGGGGGGGACAGGGGACTTGTTGCACTATGAGTATATTTTACCTGTACAAGTAGCAGAGCGGACCATTGAATTAAGCTTTTTTTTGGGGGGGGGGGGGGCGCTGGAGGGGTGTAATATATCAACATCAATTACCATACCAGGAAAAAACAAAGCTAAAAGTCGAGATTTGACTCCATGAGCAGGCCAAGAGACACACGTTCCTCATGTGAGGTCTAACTTCAACAAATAGCTGGTCGCAAACCTCTCTCTATGTAGATATGTTGACTTTGTATATTAAAGAAAAGGTTGTCTGAAAACTTGAGCAATGTCTCTCATTTGCCTCCTTTTGCTGACTCGTTGTGTAAGCAACAGTGTAAAATATTTTCGTGATTGATTTAATGTAACATTTGTTTATATCTGTATATACAGGATGCCCGAAAGCGCGTATACATTTTAGGCAATAAACTCATTATAAACCTCAGGCAATTTTATCTGCTATGTACAGATCGCAAACTAACAGCTACCCCGTTGTGTTTCTACTAACCATGTCGAATACACACTAACAAGTTCAAGTTCTGCTAACTACGCAATTAGAAATATCTGTGCACAACTTTTTTTCGTGACATCTGGTATATACAGTTTGAACAGAAGGTGCAGTGACGCATGGACAATTTGCTGGCGCGAATTTAAGCTGCCTACCATCATCGCGTCTTGTTTGTTCACTTGTCAAGGATGATAAATGCAGCACATACTTTCATCAGTAGGTGGCGGTATTGCACAAGCAGAACTTAGAATTAGTGACTGAATATCATCCAGTAATATCTGCTGGTCTGCACTATGGTATAACTTTTCATCAGGTTGTTGCGATGGAAAGCCAAGAAATAAAAATATCCATGGAACTTGGGAATACTGTAATTGCACCTAAGTGGAGAACAGTCACTGTGAGGAAAATGTCCAGCCTGTCGAAATCCACACTGTCAAAATGCCAGAACATTATTAAGCGAGAAGTAGTGGGTGTTGTTTTTGATTATTTTGAATTATTTGAATGATTATTTTATTGGATGCAATTTAAGAGAAGACTGGTTGTACAGTTGTTACCATTTTTGCACAATACTTCCTTTCATAAATATGCATTTCCAATATCCAAAGCCCATGTCCCTAAAAATTAGGGATTTTTTTCTTCTTTTTTGCATGTTTTAAAAATAGACTGGCAATATCTGAAACGCGGGCTTCTCAGCAAAATCTATTCCCTATTCTATAGGGTAGAAATATCCCCCGCGAGTTTGTTGTCCAAGTTTGAAGTCTATTTTTATTTTGGAATCTAAATCTGATTCTGCTTGTTATAAAGATGTTCTCTGCCGCTTGGGTGGGATTGCTGCCTGCTTCTGACAGCAGACTTTCTCACTTGGTCTTAGACTTTTTGATGTGGAAGATGGCATCATGGAATAGACACTAAACAGCCAACACGAATGTTCCATCCTCTCCAAAAACTCTCTTCCCTAAAGGCTTCTGCAAATTGATCATATTTAGAAGGAGATCGAATATGTCCATTACTAAGAGAGGACTATACCACTTTATCTCTCGAGAGTAAGGGGATGAGGACAGTGCCTGCTTGCTGTTGATATGGCGATTAAATTGTGCCGGTTTGCAGCATTTTAAAAATCAGTTTTTTTCTTTTAGTATTGACCAGAGTGCTTATCAGTTAGGCAAAGTCACAGCATGAGGGACAGGGCTGTCAGATGCATCAAAGAGCCATCCCATAATGATATTATCAGGCATGCCTTCCGGGCAAGCAATGCTGCCTTTCTATCACCATGTGACCTTTTTACCCAAGGAGCAAAAGAGCAAATTTTCAGCGAGTTCAGTGGGATTTCTTCTGACTGAAGTTTCTCTTTGTTCTTTAGCTGGCATCGACACACTCCGACTCCTTAAGATCTATGCATGTTTACCATTCCAAGGTCAGGAAGTCGAGCATCACGTTCTGAAATTCAAGAAGGGAAAACTGAGATATGTGTAACTTCAAATAACATTAATAATTCCTTTTCTGTTGTAATGCTATACCAAAATATCATATTGAATCCAATGGTAAAGTAGCAAATTACTCAACTGAAATGTGACTGGAAACAGAATTTAAGATATCAGTAAAGATGGACACACTCTTAATGTGTTATATAATATATAATTTTTATATGTAAGGCATATAATCACTTTTGGAATCCTGTTGGTCTGATTATATACAACACTAGGCATTGATTGTACTTTGTCTTATTACTATTCTGCCATCTTGTGGTCATTGACAATTGTCCGCAATTTTGTCTTAAAGCGTAAAGTGGGAATAATGACGTGTCGTCATTTCTTTTCATGTCTATATATACTCTCCTGCGCAAAAAGTTTTTTTTTCTCTCTTTTCTTTAAGCTAATCCTAAGGTTTAGTATTAAAGGGAATCATACCAGAGACTCGCCTGAATAAATACGTGAGCGTTCAAGTTTTAAAAATGCAAACGCACATAAATGCAGGCGATGTTTTACATTACAGCAGCGACCTATATTAAAACAAGCATCAATAACATAAATATTGACCAACAGTAACTGCGACATTTCTTTTACCGGCTGTGATCACAAGGAAATTACAATATTTTATGACTCAAAAATATTCGCTACTGCAATAAACACACACGCGCTGACAATACGATTTCCATTATATTTACAACCTATTTTGTATAGATATATAAATATACATTGTTAGACAAGCCGCTCGCCTTATATCGTTGGTTGATAGAAGGGGTACGCTACAGTGATAATGTAGAAAAGAAAACACTAGTTTAGGAAATTTCAGCATTTGTCTCCAGTCATCATACACAAAGTTTATTGCACCCGCGAGTCCAGAGTATTAGCTATCGTGCAAAAGTGCCCTCGTTTGCACTGTTTTACACAAAATTGGTGCATATGCTATCAGTCTTTGGAATGTTGTAAGATTTATATATAGTTATGTTTGTCGGGTAAATTTACAGTTGATATGAATCTGTTCATAACAATTACTACACCCTGAGTTTCACCAGAACATTCCAAGCTGAGACTGAATGGCGACCTTAACGTGGCTAAGCAGGCCACACGTGACGTAAGCCTTCTCCTGCCCGCGACACCTGATCTCCTGCGTAGCACTTCCGCATGCCTGAGTCTTCATCTAGAAGCATGCAATGCTTAGAGGAAAACAGTCCTTTCTGCCTGCAAGATGTCAGTGCGCACAGTAGAGGTCACCATTCAGCCATATCTTAAAAATACACTAATATTATTATAAATACAAAATCTTTGCGCTTGATAGGGGATCTCGGCTGAATTATTGATGGTTTTTGTTTAGTCTTATAATTCCAACCACACATATGTTTGCAGTTGCAGATTTTCCTGTAAGCCTAACTATTTGCGTGCGACGTTGCCATTCGCCTGGACGTTTTTGGTTATACATTTTGTTTGTAGTTGTTTTCCCTCATTGTTTCCTGCAAGAGGTCCAAGATGTTGAAATCTCTGATCGTGTCATCTGCCAACCCCACAGACTATGGCCAGCGTTAACGCCTTGTCCCTTTTGGCGTGCAGTGGGAGCTGGCATTGACTGATTGCTTGGATGCGAACCAGACTGTGTCTGGGTCCAGCCGTCAAACAGCATCTCTCTCTTTTTTAGGCTCTTATAATAAAAAAAGATACAATCTCTGACCCTGTATGTCAAAAATGCATTTCTCTGCACTCTGTTTATCCTTGCTGAATAGCTCTCTGCATTCTCAAAGCAGTCGTTTGTCTCAGGTATATAAACTGCTTGCACACTTTGCTCAAAAGACTGGATTGGGCAGTAAAAATAACATGGAAGACATGTTACCAAGAAGAGGGTGTTTTGTGAAGACTGAGGAAATGCCTGCTTTCCTTTTATGGACACCAAGGCTTGGGGATGGCTGCTGCTGGCGTCAGCTGGGTTTTTGCTGAGCACCTTAAAGACCTTAACAGCAGGGATGTTTGAGCAGTAGGTTTCTGTGTGTGTTCTGTGGCTGTGATTTAGAATCCGGTGGCTGTCATCACTGACAGATCGATCACAAAAACGGTTCTAGTTGATAGTTCTAGTTCTAGTTTAACTCCCAATTTCCATCGATTGGCAAAATAATCCGGAGATCCTCCTACCCCCGGGTCTTTGTAGAAGTAGCTCCCCTTATAAAAACAGTCCATTCTGCTAAATAAATATAATGTTTGTGTTGTAGTTTGGGGGTCTGATGAAGCTCATGGGACTGTATGAGGATGTGGATCTAAGCAACTAGAGGAGGCGGGACCAAGACATCTGATTGGTTAGTCTCCCTTGCTCCAGTTGCATGGACAATCTGATTGGTTACCTCACTGAACCAATCACTTTTCATTCGGCCCTGAGAACATTTATGTGTAAGTAAAATTTCCAAAAGTAAAACATCCTTATGAGGATTTCTTGCTGGGCTACCTTAAATCCAACAAATTATCTGGCTAACTTGCTTCATAATACAGGCCCCTGTTGAGCTTTTGTTACCAATATTATACAAGGGACCAGAAGACAGGATTATCTCATTTCCCTCAATGCTCTGCCAAAAGGCTATCATATGGTTCTTAAAAGTGTATAGTGTTGTGGCTTATACATTTAGCATAATTTTCCAAGTTTTTTATTCAATTGACTCATGAAAAGCTTTTTGAGGAATTTTTATTTAGCGTGCCCTTGACAAGATGATGGTTGAGTGTCTTGTCGACCCTGGGTGCCCCCTGGTGACACCTAGTGATAGCCAAATGAAGCCTCATGAACCATTTGCTGTATTTTTTGCCCCCACTAGATGGTGCTCATGGCTTGCTTTGAGGCAAGCTAAACACCATAACCATAACAGACAGCACCATATATTGGGGTCAGAAAATACAGTAAGTGGTTCATGAAGCCTCATTTGACCATCACTAGTGACAACTATCTGGTGTGGTTAGTGTGGTTTATTTAATAATAATAATAATAATAATACATTTTATTTCAGGGCGCCTTTCAAGAACCCAAGGTCACCTTACAGACATAAGAAATAAAAACAATAAATTACAATAAGATAAAAGAGGAAAAACTATAGACAAGATTGACTGCAAGTAAATAATTTGGAGGAAGGGTGATGAATATGGTCCTGAAATTTATATAGAAGCTTTATGGACCTCCTTACACAGTAAACGTGGGGTCTGAGACGAGGGTGAGCTACTATCCTCAGAGCATTTGGGGTTAAGAGCCCTCAGACGTCTCTTATTATTATATATTTTTTTATTTGCCCAGCCTCTTGGAGGACAACTTTATTTTTAATGACAGTTTCAGTTACAAAACTTTAGTGAAGTTGTACCTCACCCACCCACATACTCTTGACAAGACATGACAAAAACAAAACAAAACAACAAAAAAAAAAAGAAAAAGAAAATCACACACAACCCCACCCCCCTCAAAACAACACAAAAAATAAAAAAATTGATAATAAATAATTAAATTAAACAGGAAGGGAGAGAGACTTGACAGGACTTAGGACATTGACACACCAATGGACAGACAGACGGACAGACAAATAGATAGACAGAAATAAGGTGTATGTATATTTGTATCAGATAAAGGTCGTCTCTTAGATGTCCTACCTAAGCAAGAAAAAATGTACTCCTTGAACATTAATGCTCAAAGTTTTCAGAATAATCCTTGTCATGGAAAAAAGCTGTAAGGTTTTGATCCCACGAGTGTAGTTCCCATATTTGGCTATGAACCCAACTTAAAATATCAAGGTTGAAAATTCCACTAAGGCTTGATTTGCTTATCGAAGCCATGGCTCGGGTACTACGGCTAATTTTAATCTTTTCGTGTTATCGAGGCAGCAGTTCATTTCCTAATAGCACATGTTTTTTTTTTTCTCTCAAAACAATCTGCTGACGAACTTCCTGTGTGTTGACTGACCAGTTTACCGTCCCAGTTTAGAAAACACACCATCACTCCATTCCTTTTCCATTTGGGGTTTGTGTGTGGAGACAATGGCAAATAGGTCTGCATCTAAAATAACACACAAAGGAACAGTTGTGCTCAGAAAATAGATGAACCGGCCCTTTTTTTTTCTAAATATTCACACAGGTTTGGGAGAATAAACCATTGGAATTGCAACAGAAAAGCCTGGCTTTATTAAGTATTTATGTATTTTTCTCTGGCTGGAAATCATGCCAGAAGGGCACATATTTTATTGATCCACGGAACAAAGTCACTCTCTGTGTATATTTGTGTGAGCTAATACTTCATGATGACTAGGAACCTGACAAGGGTGTACATGTTCATATGTTCATTCTCAGTTAAGACTCATGTAAACAGTGTAACAAGTATTACTGGGCTCCACTTTAGCATGTGCTCTACCGGCTCAGCCCACGTAATAACAACGTGGCGTCAACATCTGCTTTGGCTTTATTTTCAGTGTCTCCCTTATTTATTTCAAAGTTAAAGAATAGAGTGACTGGAAATGTAACAAGATAAAATGCAGGTGTCATTGGAGAATACTTCTATGCCACTCAGTGACAGAGCGCGAGGACACACTAATTGAGGACCAATTATTGTCTTTTAGATGACATATGTATTGCCTATGAAGCCAATCGTTTATTATCTCTTTGAAAAGCTTAAAAAATTAGCTTAAAAAAAAAAATGAAAGTGCTCCTTATAGTTAATTCAACTTCCTGTTTATTTTCTGGATATTACGGCATTCCAAACCTACGCCAGGAGACGGATCACAGTTTTGTTTTTGGCCAGGACTCCAGAAAGTAAGGTCTCTTCTACAGGCGGTGCTTCTCTCAGATAGCCAGAGACGTTCACTGGTTGCTTCAGGAGAAAGGCAAGGATCACTGCAGACCCTGTCTCTGCTGGTGTTGGGTTATGCTGCTGAGCGTTCATTCGCTGCGAGGCAGAGAAATAGACAATTAATTCATCACAACGGTCGTCCTTTTATCCGATTTGTCATCTGTCGACATTTGGAAAACACAAGAAATTTGTGAAAGAGCACAGTAAGTACCAAAAACTAGTTTTTAAGGTGGCCCGGCAACCTAGCAAATGTGTTTAGGTTCAATCTGTAGCTTCCTGCTATCGCTAATTAGTTGCACTTGTGTTTAACGTAATTGTTTTAAAACTGTATTTGGTTTACGATGATAACAGCTGTAGTTTCTTCCTCAGTAATTATGTTTATGTTAACTAATCTTTATCAAGTAAGTCAGGAAAGAGCAGGACTTTCGCGGCTGATTTTGGTGTGATGTGAAGTCTTTCCACCCTACATTTTGCTCATCTTCAAGGAAGAAAGTATTTCTGCACGGTTAATAAAAATTAGTATTTATTAAAGGACAGAATTTATTATTATTTTTTTTTATTAAATATGAAATGTTGATCAGTATATGTATCTCTAGAGTCATCTTCTGGAGGGATGCAAGAAAGTTTTCCCAAAAATCTACCTACTAGCATCATGGCCGGATCCTCCCATCCAGTGTGCTTTCCCGTAAACAGGTCTCTCCACTATAACCACTCTATCGCCTCACCTCACTTCGCCCCCACCTTCACTGCTGTGGGCCTCAGCTCCAACCTCATCGCCCTAATCGTCCTGATCAGGGCGTACCGGCGGACCCACAGTCGCTCCCGCTCCTCCTTTCTGATCTTCCTCTCTTGCCTGGTGGTGACAGACCTCACAGGTCTACTGGTGACCAGTCCCGTCGTTATCTTCTACCACACCAAGGGCTTCAACTGGAGTGAGGTGGACCCGCACTGCCACCTCTGCAACTTCATGGGCATGTCCATGGTCTTCTACGGCCTGTGCCCGCTGCTCCTGGGGGCGGCCATGGCCGTGGAGCGCTTCATGGGCATCCGGAGGCCCTTCTCCCGCTCCACCCGCATGTCCAAAGGCCGGGTTCTGCTCACCGTGCTGCTGGTGTGGGTGTTTGCTGGTGCCGTCAGCCTGCTGCCCGTAATCGGGCTGGGCAGTTACCACCTGCAGAGCCCAGGATCCTGGTGTTTCTTCAACATGAGCTCCCAAACCCCAGACCTGATGATCTCCTTGGGCTACTCCCTGGTGGGACTCTTATCTTTGGCCACGTCCTTCGTCCTGAACACGGTCAGTGTGATGACGCTGCTACGCATCTGCTGTGGACGGGACACTTCACGACGGCAGCGGAACCATGAGGTCGAGATGATGATGCAGCTCATCTGGATTATGGTCATCACTTCTGTCTGTTGGTGCCCCTTTCTGGTGAGTGTGATTGTGAGTTTGTCAATGTAAATGAAAAAAACATGATAAAACTCCATCGTAACCAGTCATTTGTAATAAATCTGCTAAGGGACCCCCCCACATTGGTGAAATCTTCTAAGCCCCCCCCCCCTTCCCCACCGTTCAGATTACTTACATCTACGAACACCCCCCCCTCAAAACTTCCCAAATCATTATTGGTGAAAATAATGAAAAAGTCTTTTTTATTATATATTTGTACAAACGACCAGGCGTTAACCAGCCTTTTCTGAGCCAAAGACACCGACATTCATTTGCAATTTGCAACAGCCATAGCTACAGGTGTACATGCTATCAAACAATGAAACTATTAAAATGAATATGATGTAATTCACAGAAATGTAACACTATTGCGAGGGTTAATATGAATAATTTAGAGGCAGCATTAAGCAGCATTAAGCTAACAAGTATAAGTAATTATTATACGACTGCATTGTAAATGTAAAGTGGGTCTCAACTGAATACCTTTTGCCTGTGGTGCATTTAAACGGGACATTATCAACAAAATGTTGTGAATCAATGTGGTAACTGTAGCCCAAGGGGGATGGGGGACATTTGATCTGGGGACCCAGATCTTGTAACTATGCCCCTGTGCACACTGGGAAAAAAAAAATCTATCTGTGAACGGGCCAGAAATTTATGTTTCATATTTCGATTGCATCTCAAAAAGTTTGAAAGCAGCTATTCGGTTTTATGATTTACCATAACTGGTCCTCCAAGGGAGGAACGAGGGAGTCCACCTGTCTGATAAACATCTCCCTTCCTTGTGCAGATACTCATTCTGCAAAGCACGGTGTTTGGGGAAGCCAGGGACCAGAACCTGCTGCTGTTCTGCTTGCGCCTGGCCTGCCTCAACCAGATCTTTGATCCCTGGATCTACATTCTGTGTCAGTTGGCCTTAAAATGGAGAGTAAGTTCTAATCCAAAGAGGCGCCCCTCTGTAGCAAGCTCTGTGTCTCGGGACGGGTCAAACTCTTTCCATCTGATAGTCGTCCCTCAGCGAAAGACACCGCCGTCCTGCTCAGGAGCCACCCCCCCCACAGTCTCAGTCCGTTCTTCTGCAGATGGACCAGTCACGTTTAGCACCAGGTCCAAAATTCATTTAGCCCTTAACTCTAAATAGGCCGTTTGTTTCATTTTCAAAGTGGTGATCTACTCCTAAAATAAATATATAATATAATAATATACAAAAATAAATAAATATACACAGCGATGGACTATGGCTCTACAAACCACAGTATTGGAAGCAGGATGATTTCAGAAGAGGGACATTGAAGACAAAGATGTTCTAAACATGCTGAGATGGGCCACTACCAGGGCTGAGACTGACTGGCCCTTTCCAAAGGAGATGAGATCAGGTGTGACTCATCAGTTTTCTGACTTATCTGAAAATTAGCTGGAGAGCTGTGGTTTGGATGGACCTTGTAGCACCTAGAGGCCACCTGAAGAGGGTCACTGCGGTCTACACAGAAGATACCCAGTGTCTGGTCAAGGAGCTGAGTGAGGAGGTTAATGGGGGACAGATGGATGGATCCTGTACCTCTCAAAGAGGAAGAACGCTTGCTGTGAGCTGGACTGTGGAGTTCCCGTACAAGCGTACAAGTAAATTATCCCTAACTCTCACCTTTTCTTTTCTTGCTAGTTAATCAAACGTTCATTGTCCTCCCACATCCATCGAATAACAGGAAATGAATTTCACCATGTTTTGTAAATATTGCGTTTGCATTATTTAATGTAAAACTTCTGCATCTAAACCTTGACCTTCAACTGAAAACAAAACGGGCACAAGACACCCAGAGCACCACTGAGAGGGGAAACCAAAGTGCAGTTTATCTTACAAAAGTTATTCCAGCTAGTACTACAGCTATTTGCAGAAAAAAGGGACGGACATCGCTGATCTGGTCCCAAACTGGGTTTATGTGGGTCTCCTGCTGAACCAGCATGTGACATTGAGAGTTATAACTCACCCTGAGCACTTTGGCAGTGTCTGTGTCGCCATTATGCAGACATAAAGAGTCAGATCTGTAAAACACAGCAGTCGTATTTGCAAAGCTGCGAGATATAAAACAATTAAAAAAGAAAGTAGCACAGTACAGGCTGCAGTAGTGTAACGTGTGAGTACAAGACACGGCAAGCTATTTTAATTAAATACGTGTAGGTTAGAATCCTCATGTGACGGCACCTTATGTATTTTCTGGTAAATCATAGGAAATGCACAACAGTGTTTTAAATTTTTCTTAAAAACACACACACACGCGCACAAAAAAATAAAATGTAGATATTACTTTAAGGGGAATGACGATAACCATAGTAAGTATGATTAGGAGTCTAACCAATTTCCAAAAAGCTAATGGAATCTACTTCTGCAAAAGTGTTATATGCAGAAGTATTACATTATATTATATTAAGTGCTGTAGAAATCCTGTACCCATGAAACCGGAGATGTCTGTAGTTTGACCATTATGGTTTAAATAAATATACATTATGATGTAAAAGTCTGATTTTACTGGACTTTGTCAACTTGCAGGAGTATGTGTGTGCAAATCTGAATGTGCATCCTTTATTACTAAAGACATAGCAGACAAGTTATTTGAATTTTATTGACTTTTGAACGTTTTTTGAACCATATGTATGGAATTAATTCAGGAAATAGTTATTTGGTTCAACCAATAATGACTCGTTTATAATTAACTATAATTTAAAAACTCGCTTTTTTTGATGGCAACACATAAAATAACTAAACATATGTCTGCAGTAAATTTCTTACCAGTCTAGCAGCTTTGTAGCTTAATAAGTAATTGTATTTAAATCACTAAATTGTATATTATATAAATTTCATGAACCAACTGCATAAACAACAAAATCCCTCATTTGCATACAATGTGCTTTTCTGTGACAAATCTATACCTGGGTGTTAATGGTTTTTATACAAATTGTAAATGGATGTGTGTCACACTAATAATTATAATCATTCGGAAAATGTATGAATTACATTCAATCGAGTGTATACAAAAATGACTAATTGAAAACTGCATTTTAATAATGGATTTTTAGTGAAGTGCATTTAAGCACTGTAGGGGGAGGTATGATTTGTCGATTGGCATCGCATGCTAAAGTGGCTTCTTGTGATGTTGAGCAAAGACAGACACAGGAGCAAAAGTGGCGCGAGAACTAATACATTAATGCCAGAGCCACTTTAACATGGTCGGGGTCCCGCTATTATTTTCTCTGATGATGTAGCTGCCATCCGGGATGCTGGCAGCAATAAGAGGCCCCTGTGCTTCAGCCTGGGTGAGCCTGTGCATTAAATCGCCTCTGATTAATGCTCACCTTCAGACTGCTCAGTAAACTAATCCCTGGCATGGTGTCCAGGGTTTTCCCCGACCCTGAGCTTCCTGGGATGACTTGCGGGTTTGTCGCAGCCTCGTGCAGGATAGGCAGTTGGAAGACGATCGGAAGAATTGTGAGATCTGTGTGGTGCCGTGGTTGATGTTGCCACCTTTGGTGCGAGTGCCCTCCCGCGGGCCTGGCACGTGCCCGGCCTTAGATGATTACATCGTGGTACAGTGACTACCTAATGTGGGCTCTTATCCAATCGTGTCTCCGCTGTGGCTGGCCATAGCTTGAGCTTTGATCTTCCACAGGACGGGCAGAGACCACACCCACATCACCAACAGGCCAGAAAGTCACAGTGAGGCTTTTGGGATTGCCGTCCCCATCAAAGCTTACTGAGTATTCTTACCAGCCACACACTGCATTTTTTTGCATGTTTTTTTTTTTTTTTGGGGGGGGGGGCTGCAAAAAATACTACATTCCCCTAAATTTAACCAAAGGAATTAAACACCTTCAAAATGTCAGTCACTAGCCTATCTACAAATTCATTGAATTAAATTAACCTTACTTATACAATAGAATAGTTTTGTAAGATTGTGCACTAATAACACATAACTCAAAACACGCTGCATGAATATATGAGTAGTCTGTATAGTTTATATAAGTAGCTAAATGAGTATTGATAAAGATGCACATCGTTTGTCGTTTGTTATTGGACATAAGTGCAGTAGTGTAACGTAAGAGTATGAATTTACTTGGCATTTTTCGGATCCAAGCATCTGAGGAAACAATAAAATAAAAACCTGTCTTTATGAAGTTTATATCCCAGATGAGTCTTTTAATAGATCAGCCAAATCTGGGTATGTCAGAACCCAATAGTTTTGGGTTGTTGGGGAATTTTTAAAAGTTTATTTAATGGGTTGGGCCAAGTCAGATTGTCTTACTGCGTCTAATGCCTTTTTTGGAAGAGATCTTTTTTGGTGAATTAAATTGGGCCGTCTTTTCTGTACAAAAACATGTCTTACACTTTAAACACAACATAATTTTTTGTTTGCACTTATGACAATGTATTTATGGATATCTACTATTTTATAGCCTAACTCAGGATACAATATTATGACTATTTACTGAAATTATTTATTAGAGTTGAGTTATACATTCTCACTCAGTAACATATTGAGGACAATGATAAATAACTACTGTTGTAAAAAATGACTTTCAGCTTCCGTTGGCCTTCTTGGGGTTCATTTGGCCTTGAGAAGTAACTGAAGCACCGTTCCTCCAACTTCAGACTTGGCACGAGACTCAAAGTTGGGAGTCAATTTGACGCTTAACTAGAGAATTCAGACTCTGCCTCCCAGATACTGAGCTTGACTTGAGACATCTGATGTCAGTCCAGAATCGATGAAAGCTGACAAAACACCTCTCTTTAGATCTGTTTCTTTCATATCAATATTTATTGGTTTGTGCCAAGAAGGCGATTTGAAACGATGGGGTATTATGAGAAATGGCTCTGAGATCTGGCTGTGATGTGGTGCTAATCAATGCCTGCCTTCTATCGAGGTGATTTACTTGAACTCCAACGCTTGAGATTGGTCGGGAGCTGACACTCCCAACATAGCTCATTTATGACTCCAAAGTGACGGGCATTGTAGAGTAGGTCACCCTGTTGCACAATAACTGTGGAGATCAAAACCCTACTGTAAACATGGCAGATTAATAGGAACAGCTTGGATCGAGACAAAGTAGATAAAAGAGCTAAGTGTGTTGGGTTATCAGTCATGGACTCAATGGGTACAATCCTGTGATCTGCTGATGCTAACGCTGATGCTAACGCTATCAATACAGACCTGTAGACTCCATCAGATTGCTGACACATAACATTATTTAAGCCCAAAAACTCTGAGGTCACTCACACTTTTCAGCCCATTTAAAACTGTCTGACAGGATGTTCTAATCCCAGCTCATTGGACGGCCGAGATGCTGCAGTTTCCATAAGCCTGGAAACAGTTTGAAACAATTTAGCATATGCGTTCAATCTCAGTGTTTCTGGCTAAAACTTAACGTGCAGAAATCGAAGGCATAAGCAAATCAGGACAGAGCAGGATATCACGAAACGATATCTCAAAGTAAAGCACGCGGCAAGAAGATTTAGTCACGGTTGAGTCAAGTCTGCAGGACCAGCCGGTCACCATCCATGTTTAGCGCTGTCCCCAAGGCCAATACCACATGTTTTTTTCCCTCCACCCCTTTGGTTAATGAATGTCAAAAAAGGATTGGATTCTGGAGCACTCATCTGTTTTCCGCTTGTGTTGCTGTGCCACTGGAGACGCAGCTGGTTTCTGTCACTAAACAGGAGGGGGGTGAAATTTTGGCTGAAGCCATTTCAGAAGACCCTGCCAAGGCTAAAGCGTAGCTCTCCAACCTGAGACGGGAGCAATCTAGGGTAAAATCTCCTCCTCTGTTTACTATTCTGCCGTCATCATACTCTTCATTTCTTATAAATTAGATTTTTTTTATTAAAACGGTTTTCTTTCAAATGCTACCCCATCAATACACAAACAGCACACTGTCAATGTAAGATTACTGTTGAAAGCTACATAGTGGTAAAATCTCTGTTTCACTTTAAGATGAAGTTCTGAAGGTGCTGCTGGTCACCTGGGAAGAGTCGTTACACTCATGCTGCTTCACAGGCTGCTTTTCTTAGCCCTTGTGGCTTGATAGCATCTCGGAGAATGTAATTAAGTTCTGGTCCGTTTAGTAGCTCGGCCCAGTAAGCATTCGGATGTGACTTCTGTGAAAGATACCATGCAGTGTTGCATTACGCATACGGATGTGACTTCTGTGAAAGATACCATGCGGTGTTGTATTAAGCATTCGGATGTGACTTCTGTGAAAGACACCATGCAGTGTTGCATTAAGCGTTCGGATGTGACTTCTGTGAAAGATACCATGCAGTGTTGCAGCACAGAATCACTGGGAGATGAGCTATGTATGGAAATCTGAGGAAAATACAATAAGTGGGGATTTTCACAAGACTATTAGGAGGAAGCTTGTTTATTTTGATGACAGATCGCAAAATTAGTGGAATTCTTCAGATTTTTCATCCCGTCCTCAAGGACTTCTCGTTTATTTTCTCTCTGCGTGGTAATGACTTTTTTTCCCATTTTATTTATTTTTTTCTTCCATATGAACTATGTTTTGCTTATTTCTCCTAGATGATAAGATTTTACTCTGAAATATGTATTTTTCACAGTGGGAATCTGTTGTGCGGTGATACTAGCGAGATTGTTATTGTTTACAAATAATAGCGCATGAGTTAAACATCATTTCTTAATGCCACTGACGTATTTCTTACAACCTTTTAGAGGGCTAACAATGGTATCATATTGTACCATACATGTGGACAGAATAATGGTTACGCAACACTGAAATAACATCATACCAAATATAAACTGTTTAAAAATGTTGCTAAATAAACACAGAAACCATCTATCCAGATGTTACATTATTTAACAAACTTTCATTATTAAATGACTTTACATAAAGTGTTTTAATAACAACTACAAAAAGGTCCCCTAGACTTTATGGTTCAGTTTTCAAACATGCAGCACTGTGCAAGAGTCTTGACAAAGAAAACGATGTTCATATGGTCTTCATGTTGGTGCAAAACTATGATATTGTGTCTAAGCTGAGTTCTGAAGTCACCCCAGTATTTGTAGCAACCATTTGATACATCCAAGCTTTTTTTTTGTCCTCCACCATGAACATACTTCATTTGGGTGATTGATACGTCATTGAGGTATTTAAAAATAAGTAAATTCATTAATTCATTAATTAATTGAGCTGGTTCAGAAACGTAACAAATACATGGTTTGGTTTGGGAACCAAGGCAGTTTTCACCTAGTTATCCAACAAGAGTAAATTTTTGGAGAGCAGCAGAAATTCTTGTTAGCTTTTCATTGTGTTACTGTTAATTTGCAGATGTTGTAATGTTAAATTGTGCTTTTTTCACTGAGCAAATCTACATTCACTATCCAGATAAATAGCCGTAAACATTTCCTTTGACTGCGTAAGACTTTTGCAGAGTGGTGTACTGTATTCTTTGGCTTTATGAAACCATACTAAAGAAACCTTAGTGTTATTTACTGACATGGGGCAGTGATTGACAGCTCTAACGGCGGAGTGCTGACATGTAACCATTCATATTTATAAGTAACTTATAAATTAGCTGCTGCATTTGCAACTGAAGGCAGATCTTGCTCCCCACAATAATAATAATCATAGATACTTTATTCATCTTTGTGGGGAAATTCTCTTTTTGCCTCCCCCCAACTTGCGTGCTGTAGATAAGAGCATGCTGGTCATGAAGGGCAGCCCCCCCGCATAGCAGTGCCCAGGCAGCTGGGGGTTAAAGGCCTCGCTCAACGACCTGCAGATGTGCTGAGGTTGGGTGTAAACCCATGACCTTCTGATTACAGGCACAGAGGCTTAGCCCACTGAGCCACACGCTGCCCCCCATGAAAGTCATATGTTTTTTTAAAGTGGGGGCAGGCATTCTACACTTCAGGGTGTTTTTATGTTTTGATCCTCCTCAGGAATATCTTCTCATTTACAATTGAGGTAACTGCATTCCATCATTGAGGAAAGTCTAGTAGTTTGTCTGCAGAACTACAGAGCTTCTCAATGTTTGTCTTTTGTAGGGTGATACATACCCTTCATCCTGCTCTTATCATCTGGAGAACTTTAAAAGCCCATCAGCTGACATCATGGTTGAGTTGACTTCTTATGGCAATGAGACGACTCCTCTTTGCTTCTCAAGAAACCAACCACCCATCCACTATAACCACTCTATCGTCTCCCCTTACTTGTCCCCCACCTTCACTGCTGTGGGCCTCAGCTCCAACCTCATCGCCCTAATCGTCCTGATCAGGGCGTACCGGCGGACCCACAGTCGCTCCCGCTCCTCCTTTCTGATCTTCCTCTCTTGCCTGGTGGTGACAGACCTCACAGGTCTACTGGTGACCAGTCCCATCGTTACCTTCTACCACACCAAGGGCTTCAACTGGAGTGAGGTGGACCCGCACTGCCACCTCTGCAACTTCTACGGCCTGTGCCCGCTGCTCCTGGGGGCGGCCATGGCCGTGGAGCGCTTCATGGGCATCTGGAGGCCCTTCTCCCGCTCCACCCGCATGTCCAAAGGCCGGGTTCTGCTCACCGTGCTGCTGGTGTGGGTGTTTGCTGGTGCCGTCAGCCTGCTGCCCGTAATCGGGCTGGGCAGTTACCACCTGCAGAGCCCAGGATCCTGGTGTTTCTTCAACATGAGCTCCCAAACCCCAGACCTGATGATCTCTTTGGGCTACTCCCTGGTGGGACTCTTATCTTTGGCCACGTCCTTCGTCCTGAACACGGTCAGTGTGATGACGCTGCTACGCATCTGCTGTGGACGGGATGCCAATCATCGCCGGCGAAACCTTGAAGTACAGATGATGATTCAGCTTATCTGGATCATGATCATTGCAACCGTCTCCTGGTGCCCCCTGCTGGTGAGTATGTGAAAGGCATTATTTTTATACCATTTTCAAGTTCTGCATTCTTTAGGGGACAGTACTGCTCCCTTACACATTCACTCCTCCAGTATTCAAATTCCATCCCATTCCTGTATAAGTGTGTGAGTTTGCATGTTCTTGCCTATAATGGTTGGTGTACCTGTGCCTTGTTCCTCATTCTGCCTGGACTCCAGGCCCTCTTAGAACTTAGAACCTTGACCAGAATAAGCATTTGGAAGATTGGTAGATTTTGTTTTACTGACCATAAATGTACTTCAGAATTCATTAGAAATTACAATAATCCACAGAGACTAGAAACTAGAATAACTAACATTATGGCAATAATATCACCCACTTCTATCACACAATGTATCTTCTATTATGTATAAGATTATTCTATTATACAATGTAACAGGATCCTTCTTATTCATATTTACCCAGAGTCAACATGGCTTATTGGATTCATGGACATTTGTGACTTGGTCATATCGAAACAACGATAACTGCAAATTTGGTTTCGGAACTGGAAATGCACACTATTAGTAACCAGCTGCATAGAGGACAGAGAGAAAGACAGCATATGATTTTGATGGTTTACCTACATTTAACATCATGCCACCTATGCTAAAGCAAAAAGAAAAAAGTAAAGGGCAGATCTGTAAGTGTGTGAGTTTATAATAATGACACTTTATTGGTCCCATGTGGGGGAGATTCTCTTTTCTCCTGCCCCGTCTTGCTCTCTATTAGACACGTGCTGGCGAGAGCGAGGCTGGCAGCGAAGGGCAGCCACCTGCAGCAGCCCCCACGACGCTGGGGGTTAAGGGCCTTGCTCAAGGGCCCACAGACGTGACTATTCTCCCGAGGCTGCGCTCAAACCGATGACCTTCCAATCACAGGCACCGAGGCTAAGGCCAATGAGCCAGTAAGGTGCTCGAATATGACAGCAAGATGCTGAGACACGTCTCTAAGAGCCCCAAGATGTCCTCAGGGGGACCTTCATTTAGCTCTTGCCACAGTAGATATCAAAGTGCACGAGGCCACCATTAGACAGAGGCTGCACACAAGATTAGATCAGGGGAAGGGAACCTGATCCATGCAGGGCCGGTGTGGGTTTTTGGGATGACCTCGCAATCAGCCAATAACAGTGGGTCCCTGGGACTGGAGTTGAGAACCTCTGTTTTATTATTGGCTGATTGAAAAACCTGCACCGCCTCTTGGATTAGGTTCCCTACCCCTGTATTAGGGAGCCTTTGTTGGCCAGAAAGGACATTATGGCAGGAGTTTGCACATGAACACCAATGCAAAGACCTGGATTTCTGGAACAATGTGCTTTAGACTGATGAGGCAAAGATAGAGTTATTTGGCCACATTGCCAAACACATCATTTGGCCAGAAAATCCCGATACCAACTGTAAAACATGGTGGTGGTAATGCTATGGTTTGGGGCTGCTTTGCTGCATCCGAGCCTGGGCAGCTGACCATCACAGAATCCACTATCAATTCTTCATGTACCAAGAGGTCCCTGGGGATACTGTGACACCATCTGTCAGAAGATTGAAACTCAACCAATAGTGGACCTTACGACTTGATAATGACCCCAAACATTCCAGCAAATCCACCAAGGAAAATAACAAAATGCAGGGTTCTGGAACTGCCAAGTCAAAGCCCAGATGTGAATGTCTTTGAGATGCCGTGGAGGATTTGAAATGGGATTTATGTGCAAGAATCCCCCAAACAGCACACAGCCCAAAGAATTCTGCACGGAGCAGTGGGAAGAAACTTTCTCCCAGCTGATGTCAGACACTGGTACACAGTTAAAAGAAACACCTGCTTATGGTTGCTTCTGCTAAAGGGGGCAATTAGCTATTAGAGTCAAGGGTGCACTTTTTCCACAGAACGTTATGGCATATCTGTTTTTTTTTGTTATTGTTAATACGATCAATGATTGGTTTTGGCCAGAAGAAAACATTTCCCCAGCAATTGGTTCTGTTTGAGCACTTTTGAGCAATGTAACTGAGGCATGCAGTCTTTACATATGCTCACTATATAAAATTTTGCATCCATTTTCTATACCTGCTTGTCCTATAAAGTACCGTGGGGGTCTGGAGCCTATGCTGGAAGCTACTGGCTCAAGGCAGGGAATAACCCAGGATGGGGCATCAACCCATCGCAGGGAACAAACACCATTCACACCTATGGGCAATTTGGAGTCTCTACTTAACCTTAGTATATTTTTGGACTGGGGGGGGACCTGGAGGAAATCTTATGAGAACATGCAAACGCCACACACATGGAGCGGAGATTTGAACCACAGTCCCAGAGCTTTAACCACAGTGCCACCATGTCATGCCACAATTCTGTCATTGCTCATCTATTATAAATCCACATGAGAAATATGGACTTGTTTTCCCTGCTTTGGGTAAACAGTTCCTGGGTTATTGCACTGGGCTTCCACCTTCACACGCTTTCCGACGGAGAGCTGTAACATAGTGTCTGAGTTTGTTTACAGTATTTGGGGGAGGAGGGTAGGATTTGTGCCGGCAGACCTTGCCGTCAAAGAGCTGTCATCTTCTCATAGATAATCCAGATGTTTCGGCTCTGCTGGCCTCCTACCTGGAGTCAGTGGAAATCAAACAAGAAGACTGATGGTCTCACAGCTACAGGCTTTACTGCTACAGAAGATACACAAACAGGAATGGAGATCTTCAATGGACTGGATGTTCACAGTTCTGAAGCTTTTATGCTGATACAATATTAAACAGACCTCAGAACTAAACAGTGCTGATACAATAATTCTGTCAGTACTGGAATTTGTTTTAAACACCAGATTCTTGTTATTTGCAATGAATGGAATGGAAGGTTGGAGATTGAAATCCCAGCACTGCTCTGTGTGTGCAGAGGTGGCACGTTCTTGCTGTTACCCAAGTTTACTCTTCCAGTTCATGAATATGCAGTTAAGCTAACTGGTGTTTCTAGGGTGCTTTGTGGCTCATACCAAGACCTTAAAAAATCTGGAGTTATGTGAAAAGTTTAAGGGTTTTTCTTTCTTTTTTTTGCATGCTATTTTGAGTCTGCCGGTAATCGGTAGGTCAGTGGTTCAGATCCTGCGGTCGGCAGAGTGATTTTACTGTTGGTCCCTTGAGGGAGGCCCTTAACCCTCATCTGCTCCAAGAAGTGGCCGACCCTGCTATCTCAATTGTGTGTCACTTCAGATAAAAGCTTCTGCTAAATAAATAAAATAAAGCTGGTGGTAACTGAACCTTCAGATTCTATTCAGCTTAGTCAGTAACAGGAAGTCATAGCTCAGAGAAGCATTTGTGACTCATCAGAGTGTGGAGTGTCCATTACATGGCAATTTATTTCAGGTGTCTTTAGCTTCTAACTGCGCAATATCATGTCAGTATAAAAATCCCCCACAAAGATGTTTGCAAAAACAGTGCATTTTCCATGTGAGTTTCTGCAAGTGTTTCTTTGCATGCATGTGTGAAGATACTGGGACCATGTGCTTGTACGTTTGTACATTTTATTTGTGTACTTCATAAATTTAGCAAGAGCTAAATATTCAAAGCAATATATATTTTCATGAAAGCGGGGGCCAGACAATCCGTGGGGCAGCTGGGAGTTAAAGGGACTTCCCACATAGCAAGATGAGTCTTATCCGGATCTGGGCCAAATGTTCATTTTTGTCCCCCAGACTGAGTGCTGACCAGTTCTGCTCCAGGATCTTACCTTAACATGTGGGTCCGGTGAGTGGTTCAGTGGGCTGAGTCTCTGTGCTTGTGAGCGGAAGGTTGCTGGTTTGAGCCCTGGCCTTGATGGAATGGCTGCATGTCTGTGGGTTCCTGTGTGAGGCCTTTAACCCCCCCGCCGCCTGTCGTCTGACCTCCAAGCTATGGAAGCAAGATGGGGCAGGAGAGAAGCATTCCAGTCCAGCTGTGCAAGTAACAACTTAAATTCTGCTCCGGAATCCTAACTTGTGATGCTGTAGCACACACCTTAATAAATGCTTTTATGCCCACAAGCACAGCTACACATCTCTCCAACTACCCCATCTAGCTCTCCCTCAGCTGAGCCATTGGAGCCCGCTGAGTCACTCACCGGCCGCATAGGTTAAGGGAGGGTTCTGGAGCAGAGACATGCTTTATTTGCCTAAGTACTGGTATAATGGTTTGCCTAAGTACTGGTATAATGGTTTGCTTTTCCTCACACCACATTTTGCTCTCCATAGCTTGTTCTGCTGTGGGGGGGGGGGGGCTTCTGCTTATAAGCACAAAGACTTAACCCACAGAGCCTCTCACTGCCCCATTTTGGACTGCATCTGAATTTAACTGTTGACTCTGGTGCAAATAGGGGCCAGATTTGGTAACATTCAATGTAAATCTGGCCCACATGGGCCCTTATCTGTTTCAAATCCAGAAAGCGGTTTCAGGCCAGTATTGGTCCATTTTGCAAAAAGACACCGGGCCAGATCCGGTTTACAGATCTGCGGAGATTTCTGCACATTTGGCCCGGATCCGGATCAGACTCATCTTGGTCGCATGTGTGTGGGTATACTGCCGGTCACCACAGTGCTAACCATCATACCATGGGTTTGTCTGTCTGCGTGTACGTCCACATGTTTCAACATGTGTGCATGCATGTGTGCGTTTGCATATTTCCACGCATCTTTGTTTGTGTGTGTCTGTTTGCTGGCGGTTGACCCCCCCCCCCTTCCCAGGTGTTCACCACACACACAGCCCTGTCCGGTCGGCCCGTCCAGGATAAACACCTGCTACTCTGGATCCGCTTTGCCTCCTGCAACCAGATCCTGGACCCCTCCGTCTACATCCTGGTCCGGCAGGCCGTGCTGAAGATGGTCCGCTGCTGTTCCAGAGGGCTCTAGTTTGACATGTACCCGCTTCGTCACCTTCTCCTGCCCTTAGAGTTCACACATCTAACAGTGATCCCTGCCTGGATGTGACGAATATCACCATGTCGCACCATAATGGATTTGTCCTGCTCACTTCTGAGGAGGACACTGCCATTAATCTCTGCCGCTAAACTATAATTACTTCATTAACTTACTGTTTAATCAAGTACAGTATAAGTTACATCCACCCCTCCAGGCAAAACAATTCGACAATCGATTAGCAACGTAATGAAAGCGACAGTATTTTGGACTCAGAAGCAGCACATTTGTATCTGCATGCGTGGCTCTTGAAGAAGCTCTGGAGGAACAAGCGAGACAAGGCTGGTTTCCAGGGCATGTAATGGCCACAGGTAGTCAAGCTTTCCTCAGAAAGGCTTCGTCTGATTGGTCTGGGGACTGTGTGGGGGGGCGGAGCCTGCAACGGCTGCACAGCTGGGCCAGGATTCTGGGTCACGGCTGATGGAAAGATGAGGAGCAGATGCTGGGCGTCACATACCTTTGTGGATTCCAGGAAACGCTCAGGCCCCGGCCGTCTCCCACCCACTTCATGAGTTTAATCTGAATCTTAGATGTTCCATGTTTGGACCAATTGCCTGGAATTTTACAAATTTTTCTGGGAAGGCTGCAGAGATACGTTCCTCATTCTGGACTTCGTCTCTTAACGCTCTGTTGACCATGACCAAGACGTCCTCAGGCTGTATATTCCTTCTGCCGCAGTGTTGCTCCTGAGTGCTTCCAGGTTGAAGTATCTACGGAACAAGGGTTCTGTGGTAGAAGAGTCAGCGTTCCATGTATAGCTGTAGAACAAGCAGCAATCAGCTAGGCTCTATTGGTAATTGGACCACATGTTTAATGGTGAAAGTGGCCCAAACTGAAGGAGCCGAGAGATTCTATTTGTTTATAAAGTTTTATTATTTTATTCATAGTCATGAGTATTTGTTATTGTTTTTAAATGTATGTTTATACTGACCAGTCTAACGTTAAAAACCATATGGAAGACACCCAGTGGTGGAACAGTTGTGTGTATTTAAATGGGAGCGGTGATGATGTTCAGGAAATAAATGGCTGATCTCACATTAATGCTCAGTCTGTTTATTTGCAGGGTTTGAACGACACACCCCTTCGCTTCTAAAGCATTTATGTGCATTGTCGCTGTGACAAAACCCAAGGCTGCACTCTAAGCGTATGGAGTGTAAACATTTGTAGCAGTTTGTAGGTAACCACATAATTATACTCACGCTGAGCACTTCAAAAGCCACAAGGTAGATAGTGAGCAGACGGTTTTCCTGCCGTGCGCGTTGGAATGTCGGGGGTGCCAACTGTCACACATCCGGAGTGACACTCACTCTTTCAGACTCTCACTCTCACAAGAAAGCTTGTAACAATACAATATTATTCCATTATAAACCTATAATTAGCTTCATAAAAAGCATGGGAGTAGGACTGCAAACCATACAGACTATTTCCAAGGTAATAAAACTGCAAACATACATGCAAATACGTGTGCAGACTTGTATCTAATTGAAAATCTCACACCAGTCAGTTGGCAAAGTTGGCAGCTCAGAAATGGGTAACAAACTTCCTGCAATTTCTTCGGGGAATACAGAGAAATTCTTGCAATATCGTTGTCAGGGTGGGGTGGGGTACTGGTAGATTTTGGGCCCCCAACCTACACCAACACAATTATGTTCAGAATTTTAGAATCATCCTAAACATCCCTCTTTTACAGTGCCCCCTGGGCGCTATAACAATAAGTAGACAAAATAATAAAGAATTAATAACGATGTGAATGATATTCTTTATGCAGCTAAACAATGCTAATAGCACCAGTCCCCCAGGTCCGCAGACCCTAGCTTCTCCCCCGATAAACATCACCCGTACTACAATGAACACAACTGGAACTATTAATTTAACACTGAGGGTGTTTATACAGTCCTGTACTTATTTATCTGCTGTAGGGTCATATAAACACTCCCAGTGTTTAATTAGTTCTCTCATGTGTGCAAATGACACAAACTTTACTGTATACCTCAGGAGACAGCTGTGTGTAAACTACTCCCTTTATCGTTGTCCGAAACGTGGCCTTTTTTCTCCTAAAAATATACGGACTGCCACGGTTTCTAACCACAGGGGGAAAAACGGGAGATCTGTATCCAAAGATAAATGCGAGGTTACAAGATATGTTTGGCAGCCAGCCTCTGCTTTAATCTTTGATAGTTTGGTCTACACCTCCTCCATGCTTTCAGCTTGGCTAAAATATGTTTTGCCACACTGTCTGCGACAAATCATCCTGATGTCACAAAGCAGTCTAGCGTGCTCCATTTTGTACAAATGATTAATGAAATGGAATGCTTGTGGGTGGCTCCGTTTCATCGAATGCGTTGAGTAAAAGATGAATGTGTAAAATGATGGCCCGGTGCTCTGTGTGATCACCCACAGAAGATGATGCAGCTTCAGTGGAGTTTGGGGTGAGGGATCGAGGTCTAGGTCCTTAACATCAGCTCAATGCTTCTCCTTATATGGCATGTGACTCAGCCAGCCTGTGGGAATGTCATTTTGTTTCTTTCAAATCCAAAGCAGAATGCTAATCTGCATAGCTCAGATCCTGTGCTCTGTCAAGTTCAACTCCCAGGATTGCCAGCACTGTGCCGTGTAAAATTGGCACCGTCAGTATGGAGGTACAATGAATGGGCCCAAGTGCCCCCCCCCCCCCACAGGGCAGAGTCACAGGAGTGACCTGGCGAGGCCGGACGCGGTACGCCGCCATTTTGGCTTGATCGGCCATCTTGGCTTGATCTACCATTGTTCACTTCCATCAGTTGCACCGGGGAGAAGGATGTGCCGGTAAACAAGCTCTACCGGTCAAAACGGAAAGGGATGGTGGTCATTTGGAGAAGAAGTCATACCCTAAAACAAAACTGATGAATGGGGAGGTCTGATTCAGCGTTACGTTGCTCGGGAGGTTCTATGAGCATGGGGGGTCGGGGGGGTGGATGTGCCTCTCAGGACCGGCTGGTTGCTCAATACTTCTCCTTATCTGGACTGGAATGGAATGCTCCGGATTTAGACCTGGGGGGGCAGGGGGGTCTTGATGGACGTTCTCTGTGGAATGTACCATTTGGTGATGTTGTTTAGGGTCCCACATGACTTGGGTTTCTGCCCCATGACACTGTTCTTGGGTGTTAGTAATGCTGAATGCTGAAACTAAACAGATTTCTGGGAGACAGAAACACCCTGTCCAGCTCTCTGTAGTTGTTCTTCCTCTTCTTCTTCTTGTCATTATCCTTATTATCCATTTCCTCATTTTGCACTAAATTTAGGCAGAAGTGCAGCCATGCCACATAACCCCAGTTCTCCCCGCCCAGGAGACCTGCTCGGAAGATGGGCGACTGGTTTATTATTATCATTGTTACTAAATTACACTACTGCTAGTTCGTCGTGACGCAGGCTTATCTTTTCATAGCCTCGTACAGAAGTATTCCAAGCTGACTGCCGCAATATTTAGAGAAAACAAGAAGTGCTTTAGGAAGCAAGGCACACTTCCTGTGCATGCATTTATTTAAAAGAAGACGACATTGTAATTGCTCATCTTGATAATGTAAAATACCTTAAGGGCCATTTACGAGGTCAGTTGTTAGAAGATACTTAGCAGTTCCCGAAATTGGGTAAGGGTTACTCCTGGGTCAGTTATTTAAACTCCTTCCTTCCTTGCATTCCATTATTTACATTAAATTTCCTCCCGGTAGAAACATGTATTTATCCGTACAAAAGCACTGGCTTTTTGTGTGTGCACGCAGACCAGTCAGAATTTTTTATCTGCTAGTTTATTTCTTAGCATGAGCTCCTTTTAAACAGCATGGACTTGACCATGAAACATGTTGTCTGAAAAATGTCCGCCAGATGGCAGTGTTTCTACACAGTTTTGTAAAGAGATCATAACGTGAATATTACCGATGTATGACTGAACCGAACGAGTTCTGTGGTTTTGCATGGTAATTGCTATCCAGCCAAATGTGGTGACCTTCATCTGCATTCATCCACAGTCTAACAGTCCCTGTAGTGATTCGAGGTTAAAGGCTTTGGTCAAGGGTCCAGTCATAAAGTCTGACAACTCTGGGATTTGAACCAGCAACTTTATGATCGCAAGTACAGTTGCTAACCCACAGAGCCTCATACCATTCTGTGAGTGACTATGGATTTAGTTCATAGGTCTTAGAATGTTGTGTGAACCTTGTAGACACATCATTCGACAACATTCCTAGAACTTCCAGAAAAATTGACATTTTGAATGTTTTAGGAACCAGGACTCGTAACGATCTGAAAACGTTCTGCAAACCTAAAATTGTTGGCTGGGTTTCTCCCTGAAACCAGATCGTGTTTAATTCACTGCTGACGTTAAAGATGCTTCTTTGCTTGGCTGAGGGCACCGTGTCACACTGATGCACCCTGCCGCCACCATTCGAACCTTCTCACCCCTATCCATGTCGCCTTCATGCTCCTAGTATCCAGGCCATATTGAATCCTCTCCCTATATTCCATCTTCTCTTCTTCAGAATGTTCTCAAGCTTACTATGCAAGAAGAAAAAAAAACTGTCTTGTGGAGTATGATTACAAATTCCCGGAAATATTTACGATGTTACATGCAGTATACTCATTATTCATTTTAACAAGAAACCACGCATACAAACCTGTGACTGCTCAATTTTTATTTCTGATGTGCAGTTTTATCTGTCTGCCTCACTTATGCTAACATCATCTCCATGAGAACCAAGACTGAATCTTCCATTCCAGTTTAGCTACCAGGGATCTACTGAAGTCCATCTGTTAGGCTTTTAAACACAAGATGTAGTATCAGACGAGGGTAATATCAGGGTAATATGACTCCAGATAATGTACAGCCTCTCCCTGGGTTACGATGGGCTTATGTTACAATAAACCTATCATAAAGCGAAAATACCCTAAGCCAAAAATGCCTAGCCGACCTTAAACATTCTTAGAACACTTAGATTAGCCTACAGTTGTGCAAAATCATTAACACAAAGCCTAATTTACAAAAAAAGCATTGAATATCTCATACACTCTATTGAATAATGTACTGAAAGTGAAAAACATTTACCCATCGTAAATATCGTAACACGGGCTATTGTAACCTGGGGAGCGTTTGTGCTAAACGTTGTGCTGTGCACTGAGTACACGTCACACCAGAAGCAGAAATAGACAAGGGATTACGCTGTGAATGACAGTTGAAGCCACAACCAAGCGCCACAGTGTGCTTCCAGATTTGCGACATGAAAGTAGAAACTCCTCATTTCTCCATTTTGTCAGTTGAACCACAGACACACACAGCCACGCAATCGCGAGCAGATACAAGCACCGAGAGAGAATGCAAGCACCCAGACATACGCTTAAAAATAGCAGTTGAACAGTAATAAATTATTTAAAATAAACAAAATGTCACCCCTTTATTCTTGAAACAACCAAATGACCATAATGAAAAGTAAACTCCTTAAAGATTAATTATATTATGAATAATTTAATATTGATTATACATTCTACCCACAAATAGTTTAGGAAACATATTTTCAGGTACCTAATAACCTTAATTATGTACAGTAAAATAATCATCTGTAATTTTAGCATGTTCTGTCCTAACTGACCTACAGTCTGTCCTGTTTCAGAGCTCATTGATGCTGCTAACATCTGCTGGCGGACATGCAGAGGAGATGCAAAGTAGCTTCTGCATAAGCACAAGGGGTCGTGGGAGAAAGCTGGCCTGCATGCTGGGCTCAGCTGCCCCACCTACATGGACGCTCGTGCGTGGAAACTTCTAAATATTCAACATTAATCCCGACTGCTTTGCCATCCGTCAGCCTTCCTGGGCACCTGTGGCATGAGACGGCCTGACTGTCTGTTGAGTGAATCTTTCATTCACCCCATGCAGTGGGATACAGGACAAGACAGGAAGGAAAGTCATGGAAGGTCCCCGGCTCACCATATTGCACTAAACCCAGTCAAAATAAAGAATTAATTTTAATATAAAATTTCCATATTTCTTATATGTGAACTGGAGGGGG